GAGTTTACTTTGCAAACATACTCGAATTATGAAAGACCTGTCTCGCATTTTAACCTGCCTGCCCAAGCTTGTTGGGATTCTAATTTGCCTCACTCTAGACCCGCACGCTTGGGGGTTAAATCCTGGGAGACGGCTCAAAAAGTTGGCCATACTTGTGTCACTCGTTGTTCCCTTTATTCTAGACAAATCCGACCTAATTACTCAAAATCACCAGGTTTGTGGCGAATTTGCTTTCATGATGAGCGCTCGATTTAGGTATTGGTAGATCAATCTCATCAAAGATGACAGCTGATTTAGATTTTTCTCTAATCGTATTATTTGACTATGACTGACGTAATCTGCCAACAATTCTTATGTGACTCGATGAATAAATTCCACTCATCTCCCGAACTGTGGGTCAAGCACGAACTAGTCAGCAAATCATCGTATGCCTCAGTATGCTTGAAAATATACGGTATGCTTGCAGCCGACTATGTGTTTGGTATGGTTTTTCATAATTGATTGTCTCTCCTTCTGGCGAGAACAAATCCGTGCAGTCTCCACTTGAAGAATTTCAATAGAGACCAATTCGGGACTATCTGTCAGCTAATATTCCCCTTAGAAATGAAAAATTTAGACTTCGCTAGTCATCTGACGGACATGATCCCAGCTGAAATTGATTTCTATCAAAACTTCAAACTACATCAAAGGAGACTTGCTGGCCCCACTGTAATTGTTTTACATTTACTCACAGCACGAAAAAAAACCAGCCTGAACATTTTATGTATATGTTGATATGGCAAACTCGTATATGAGTCCTTTGTGTAGCTGACTCTTTAAAATTCTGCTACGGTGTCCTAACCTGTCAAAGAGAGAGAGAGAGAGAGAGAGAGAGAGATGGACATGAGACTTGTATGCAACAAAAGGAATGTACATGTTGATAAGTAGAGGGTGTAGGTTATGTGAAAGCCTAGCACGTGAGATGCTCAGTTGTCCGTGTTCGTTCCCGTTGGTCGGGTTCTAGTTTAGACTCATGCATATGCTACTTTGCACACGATATCAGAGTGGATAAAGGTTGTGTCAGCATTAAACTCAGGGCTATCTGCTTGTTGGTTCAAGGGAACCAACCCTCCAAATCGAAAGGAAGAGGATGAGAAAAAATCTTTGAAATAATTGTAATGAACACAATGGAATTTGGAGATAACAATGTCAATACCAGACATTTATCAAAATGTTACTTGAAAAAATACTTGTTATTTATCTGTAATCAACACAACTGAACGTAGGGCAAGCATTTAAAATGTATACAACACCCAAAAACATTATTACTATTGTATTATATGATGTATTCACTCTATTTCGTGTAAGGTGATGAAGGACTGGTAGTAGAATTTTCCCACAATGATATGAATAGAACTGACAGTTCCATTGAATTTCACAAAGGCTTGCTTTCCCAAAAGTTGTTCTCATCCAGGGTCTACTGCGTCAGCTCAACTCATATCATTGTGGGAAAATTCTACTACCACTCGTTCATCACCTTACATCTCATATTACTGATTTGCTGGTAGTTATGAAACTCTACTTACATACGAAAAATACTATTGTATTAACTAGAGCCGATCGTGCGGATAGCAATCAAGCTGTTTACTCTACTTTAACGACTGCTCAATGCAAAAGCTTTAAAATAAATGTAGTGCACGCAACTAAAAATTGTAACAAAAATCGCAATGTCAACCACTACTCATAGGACTACTTATGGTAAATACTGTGTATTAATTATACCAAACACAGCTGAACGTAGGCATATCAATCAAAATGTCAGCGCTAGCCGAGCACGGGTATAACACCTGAAGTGAGAACATTACTCAGGGACTGTTAATAGAATGCATACAGTAAGAGATACAGAGGAAACTGTTCCTGCGTGGCATAATGGGACTAAAGTAATCTGGTGAGCAAAGCTTTTAGACTGAGTCACTTTTGGCAGGACGTCCTGTTCTCTCCGATTGCTAAAGCACAATGTCTGTCCCGCCGAAATGCCAGCAATCGCGTTGCATGTTCCTCCGGCGTCGGAGTCTACAACGAGGCCTGCGGATCTCGAGGCCAGTCTGTTGCGTGTTTATGACTTGGTTGTCAACTTGCCGGTCCACACCCTCAAAGAAGACGGGCCCTCTAGAATTGAGAAATTGCGCCGTGGCCGGCAGGAGGTGAAAAGTCGACCCATCGGAAGAGCTCAAGCGCATAGTGACTCAAATGCCGGTCGCTAAGGCGACGGACGAGGCGGTTGTGCTGGCTGAGGGTGAGTGCGGGTGGTGCTGCACCTCGGAGACACCAGTTGCTGGCTCGGTTGTCGGGTGGACGAGAGACTTTCTAGTCGAGTCAACCCTTATGGCGTCCAGTTGGAGTGCCCATTTTCGGACCGTGTGCCGCGAAAATGCTGCAATTGTGCAAGTCGATTAACGTCTGTCCAACTTCCGTCAATTAGCACGACGAGTTCTTGCCATGGCGGTCGAGAGCAGTTGCAACACGAGTGTGAATGGGAATCTGTGCGTGTGTAAGTGAATGTGTGGGTGTGTGTGTGTGTGTGTGGGTGTGACTATGACGGTGGAGACGGAGGGAGGGGGATGTGAGGGTGTCTGCGACTGGTTCTTCGAGAGAACCGAGGCTGCAGAAGTGGCGCCTCGGGGGTGGGCCAACGGCAGACACCTTTTGAGTCAGTACGAGACGTCCGAGCAATTAACTCGAGTCAGAGCTTGGCACTGGCCTCGAGCCGGCTGGACAGAGACAAAAGAGGAAGAGCATGAGGCGCTGTGAGGTGGACAAGACGATACCGGCCATTTCGAAACACCGCTCAGAGTCAAGTCGATGTGATAACACCTCGTCAGCCCATAATGCTCACAAATGGGTGGCATTTGAAGAATGCTGGAGTCGACGACAGCGCTCGCGACCAATGGTGTGTTCGAACTTAC